AGTGGTCGGATCGCATGAAACGTTTTCCGCACTCGCCACACTGGAAACGTTTTTCGCCCGTGTGCGTTCTGAGGTGACGCTGGAGTTCATCGGAGCGAGTGAACGCCTTGTCGCAGTACATCCACTGACACACGAAAGGCCGCTCTCCGCTGTGTGAAAGCAGATGTGCCTTCAGGTGGGACGTCTTGGCATACAGCTTGCCACATCCCGGAACATGGCAGATGTGTTCCCTATTCTTGCCGCCTGTACTGCTTCGTGAGGCGTCCTGGCAGTTGGGGCAGCGGCATCGTCGACAGCGACGACCACCGACTGACGTGCTGACGAGAGCAGAAGCGATGCGCCTTCGCTGCTGAAGGATGGTGTCCTGTGCGAAGGCGTTGGGTTGCTGTGGAATGAGGGTTGGGTTGCCTTGGCCCAGCAAAGGTCCGGCGTGCTGCTGATAAAGGTGGAATGGATAATCGTAAGTGGCGTGAGAAGTGGGCGTGTTATAAGTACTTGCACTCCACCAGGGCGATGTGTGCGATTCCCTCGGGGCGTGAGGGTTTCTCGGGCGGAGGAGAGAGCGTGGGCGGTGTGATAGCGTTGGCAAGGGCGCTGTAGTGGTGCTGCAGGTACGGATAGGGAAGCTCCCCGACGCCGCCGTACAAGTTAGGCGGCGAGACGTTGGCAAGTTGTCCACGGACGTGAGGGAGAGTCGTGGTGGGAGTCTGTTGATGGAAAGGACCGAATGCATTTCTGGCGTGACCGTTGCTGTAGTAATCCATGGCTGTTCCCTCAACTGTGCCACAAGAATACATCTGTGTCGTTGGTTCCGCAAGGAGCAAGTGGGAAGCGGAGAGTGAGGTGGACCTTACCTGTGAGCAATGATATACCTATCCTGGGAATGCGGGTTCTCCTCTCGGCCGTCTGTCACGTACTGCCATTGTACCGCAATGTATTTTATTTATGAGCTGGGTTGATCTTCGTATAATTTTCTTAGTTCTGTATGGAAATTTTCTAATAAGTATACAAATCAAGGTAGATATATATGAACATTTGTATATGTAGATTTTTCCATCTCATATAAATATGTATACATACATATATATATATATATATATGTATGTATGTTGTATTTGTGTGTGTTTTACATAATACAAATATGTTTGAATGTATGTATGTGTGTATATGTACATGTTTGTATAATATAAAAAGATACATAGATAGGTGGTATTTAGACGCTATACATGCAGAATCCCTTATGACTTATTCAGAATACCATTGATAAATTTGTCATCGCTCTCTTAGGAATACTATCATTTTAAATTACATTATTTTTTTTTGGCAATGGTAAAAAAAAAAACTGCATTGTGCCGGACATTCTTAGTCTCCATACACGTCACCGAAATGAGTAAGATTACAAAAGACTAGGCTACAAATTATATTTCAGCAAAAAAAAATCATTTATAGAAGCGCTGGAAGGAAGGAGGAAGTGAAATGGGAAGAGGAATAAGAGAAAGGACGGTCATTCCGAACCCGTAATCCGAAGACACTTCACTTTCATGTTCTCCGAAGTCCGCCCTTTGCCCCTCCTCTCCCGCCCTCTCCTCCTCCTCCTCCCCGCCTCTCCTCTTCTTCTCCTCTTCCTCCTCTTCTTCCTCCCTGTCTCTCACCCTCTTTCTTCCTCCTACTCTACTCCTCTCCTCCCTTTCTATCATCACAGCTCTTTCTCTATTTCTTCCATACAAGTTTGATTTTTATATTTATTTCTTCTTTATCCTCTTCCGTCATTTCCTCTTTATCCCCCCCTTATCATATCTCCTTTATTCCTCATATACTTCTTGCTTCTTCATCTTCTCTCTTTGATTTCTCTTCTCAGCCATTTTCTCTCTTCTTCGTCATTCTCATTTTTTCCTGGTCTATTTTCATCATTTTCTCTTTATTCCCATTATCTTTATTTTCTCTTCTTTGTTCACTATCATTCCAAGGGGGTAGTTGGAGGAGAAAAAGGAGGCAGGAGAAGAGAGAAAGGAGAAGGCGGAGGAGGAGGGGGGAAAGAGGAGAGGTGGGGGAAAGGAGACAGGAGGAGGAGGAGAGGAGGCGGAGAAAAGGGAGAAAGGAGGGAGGAGCAGAGGAGGAGGAGAGGCGGAGAAGGAGAGAGGAGGAGGAGGAGGCGGAAAAAGGGAGAAAGGAGGAGGAAGAGGGGAGGAGGGGAGAAGAGAGAGGAGGAGGAGAAAGAGAGAAGAGGAGAGGAAGGGGAATTTAGAAGGAGGAAGAGTAGGCGGAGAAGGAGGAGGAGGAGGAAGTGAAGAGGAGGGGGAGGAGGAAGAGGATAAGGAGAGAGGAGGAGGATGCGGCGGAGAGGAAAGGGAGAAGAGAAGGGAGAAAAGGGGAGGGACCATTCCAGATGGGCCCGTATCCACAAAAGTTCTCAGACGATTCTGAGACAAAAAAAAAAAAAAGTGTCTGAGGAAAAAAAAATAGATCGACCGTTTAATTACATCGTTGATCTACGCTTATTTAGTAATTAAATACTCATTAATACATAAAAAATGCAAACATGTTCTCTTTGGCGAAATACTCTCTTGTGCTGGCACGACACACGCAAATCAATCATTACACAAGGAAAACAAAAACAAATATCGATAAAAATGTGAAGATAAGTGCCATGGCATCTATATATAGATTATATATATATATATATATATATCGTATATCTATATCCATATATATATATATATATATATATATATATATATATAATATATCTATATATATATATATATATATATATATATATATATATACGTGTGTGTGTGTGAGTGTGTGCGTGTGAGTTCACACACACCTACACATATAACAATTTATTATCATTATCATTTTAATGACATTATTTTCTCATTTTATTTATTCGTTTCATAATGTTACACTTAGTATACTGATAATGTAATCATTGGCATTTGTTATAAAAGAACAGGAAAACAATGTTATTGTTATCACTGGAATAAAAAGTCTTTAAAATCAAGAATGGTTTTCTCTCTAACACTGATTAACACTGACAAATGGTGATTGACCGCATATGGGTGACCTGGGATGACCTGGAAATGACATCGTCCAATTCGCACCTTGTCGCGAACTTGTTATGGTATGTCATCTATAATCAACATTCTAAAACTCAATGTAGGCTCTGTAACAGTTAACTCCATAGTGATGAAACATGTGTGTGTGTGTGTGTGTGTGTGTGTGTGTGTGTGTGTGTGTGTGTGTGTGTGTGTGTGTGTGTGTGTGTGTGTGTGTGCATCCCACGGTAGAGGGCACAAGGACCAAGAATCATGCATCATGAAAGGTTTTATGAAGTATTTCAGGTAAACGTGGAATGAATAAGATACATACCCGTGTCTGTCATGAAATCCGTCAAAGCGATGTCAAGAAAAACAAACAATTGAAAGTGAGATCAAGAACAACCCATGACACTAAGGTGACCTATGATAACGAGTTCGCGACAAGGTGTGAATCCGTGACTCACTCGTCACAAAATATAGGTCAGAACATGCTTCATTAGCCACTTATTAGTAGACATTGTATGGTAAATTTGACAACTCGTCAGTGAAATATTGCAGTAATAGTAACGTAACATTGTTAGGATCAGGCCTTATACTATTTTTTATTTTTATTTTGGATTTGAATGTCTGTCATTGTGCGTAAAATCTAAATCAAATCATATCGAACACAATGGTATTTACATTTTCAGAAAAGGGATTAAGAGACTAACCTTCGATCACAATATATACTATCTGTGATTCGTAGTATTTCAATCAATCAGTACATGTACAAAAGAGATAAATTGAATTTGCATGTATTACCCTTACTACCTACATTTTCAGTAACACTAAAGTATGTATTACACTTACACTGATAAGTCAGTTTACGACGTTTACCGTCCTCTTGACTAATTGTGACCTGAAATGACCTGAGGGTTACAACATTCAATTCACACCTTGTCGCTAACTTGTTATTGTTGGTCACTCTTGGTAATGTTATAATTATGAGATTCCTGACAACTGAAACTAGTTGTACGTACTTCCTAATTAGGACATTTCTGTTGCTGTCAGAAAATATATAGAAAATGCCATCAAATGCAAAGCATAAAACACGGATATGTATGTGTGTGAGAGAGGGGGGGGGGTATATACTGATATAATAAAATCTATTAGGAATTCTCATATGGTAAATTTACACAATATATATTTCCTATAGCAAATTTTATACATAGACAATATTATGTAACAACAATATTTTCCTCCTCATTAATCTATTCATTTAAAGGAAATGAAGAAGTCTGTTAAGCCGGTTGATGTAAATGATTGATATGAGGATGAATTAGAAATCTGACTGATAGGCCAAACGCAAGATAATAAGTTGTGGGGGAATTCATGTACCTAATTTCGTTATAATTCACAAGCTAAGATGTTCTTTCCTTATCAAAATAGTACCTAAAAAAGGTCAAGAGCTACATTAAATACCCTTGGCCTAATTGCCCATAAGTGTACATTATTTCAAAAGAGTTCGCGACAAGGTGCGAAATGGTTGCTGTCACCCGAGGTCATCTCGGGTCAAGCCGTTTTCTCCTCGTCATCTATTATCGCTACAGAAGAATCAAAGGAAACAGAGCATCAAATTTCCTAATCACACAGGTGAAATATCTGAAATAATTTCATGCAATTCTGCAGAAATTATAGGACTACCTTCCTCTGAATATAAGATTCAGTTGAACACGGTAAACAATTAAATATCAATATACGTTTAGGTTGGATTCAGTAAAAAGCATCGTACGACACATGTAAACTTATAGAGAAAAAAGATTCCGAGAAAATATACAGAATGAACTTTCGGGTTTGTCGACCTGCCATACCTGGGAAGTGGGCGGAAAGCGACCTCGTGCTCTGATTGGCTGACGTCATCCAGAGCCCAGGTATATTACCTTCCCCGATCACGGACATCGTCACACTTCTCCCAGCGTCTGTTGCATCGACAGCCAGTTTTATCAAGATGTATCCCGTCAGTGCCTTAGGAGGACCGCAGTTATCTCACTGGGTGGGCGGTGATGGCCTGAGCAGCTTCCATTCCTATCAGCAGCCAGGTTTACCATTAACGCCGTCGCCTGAAGCTCACAGAGGATATTTCGCCAATGTTTCGCCTACGTCCTACAGTGGAGTCAGTGCTTTGCCTTACCATTCCCTTCAGCAGTGCTACGGCCAGCACAACGGCGTCGCGACCCCAATGCTCTCTCCTCCTCCTGAGAAGCCGGTTACGCCGCCGAAGGATGTGCAGACGCGTCCCTGGTGGAGCACGAGCGTTTCCACGACACCAACGTCACACATCCCCCACAGCTTCCGCCATCCTCAGTATGCCAGTCCAACGGTACCACCAACAGGTCAAGCAACTCCTCCGTTTCTTCAATCCCTCCCGATTGCCGTTGCGCAGGATTCCGTTTCGCACCATCCAAATGCCATCGCCTCTGCTCTCCTCAACGCGCAGTCATCCGTCAGCGTTCGGCGTTGTCGACGATGCCGTTGCCCCAACTGTCTGAATGCCCCACGAGACGGTTCAGGTGCCAAGAAGAGGGAGCACGTTTGCCACATTCCCGGGTGCGGCAAAGTGTACGGCAAAACGTCCCACCTCAAGGCTCACCTCCGGTCCCATGCCGGAGAGAAGCCCTTCGCGTGCCAGTGGATCTTCTGCAACAAGGCCTTCACTCGCTCCGACGAACTCCAGCGCCACCTCAGAACGCACACGGGCGAGAAACGTTTCGAGTGCGTCGAGTGCGGCAAACGTTTCATGCGCTCTGACCATCTCAACAAACACGTCAAGACCCACGAGAACCGACGCGCCCGTCTTGCTTCTGCTTCTCCTGCCGAAGGTGACGACGTCGACGTGGAACTCTGCGATGACGCCGTTGAAGACTGTGCGGAGGAACTTCTCCCTGTTACGCTGCCAGACTCTCCCGTGTCTGAAGCAGAGCTGCAGGAAGCAGATGTTGACGTCGAAGATTTGCTAGAGAACTCTTATCTATGTGGACAGGATAACCACTTGTCGCAATATGGCTATATGCAAAACTTCCAGATCTAAATTGTACACCCATTAAGGATTTCCTGGGCGAACCATCTATGTAAAACCCCGTGATTTTATATTTATTTATTGGAAATAATGGAAATAAAAGATTCATATATAATTTTCTATATATACCTTGAGTTAGCTATATCTATCGCATGCCCTAATAGACGAAACAGTCTTTCACATAGTTCAGACACACATAGTTCCCAAGTACCAAGTCTTTTCCTGTTTCCAATATGTTTTCAAACTTTGACCTTTAACGTGAAATACAGTTCAATGTAGATCATTTATGATTTCTATCCGTCAAATTTAACCCTTCTATTTGACACTTCTCTCCATCTCCTAAAGACAAGAACGGGATATCATTAATCGTCACTATTGTTGTTATCATGATTCGTATTATCATTGTCATTGTCATTATCATGATTATTATTGTTATTGTTATTGTTATTATTCGCATGATTATTATTATCAGCATTATCTTTATTGTGTTATCATTATCATCATTAATCTTGATATTATTACCTTATCATTATTATGATTATTGTGATTATCATTATCATAATTATTATCATTACCATTATCATCATTATCATTACTATTATCATTATCATTATTTATTTATCATCATTGTCATTACTATTATCATTATCATCATTATCATTACTCTTATCATTATTGTGATTATCATTTCTATTGTCATCATAGTATCACAATTATCATTATCATTATTATTATATCATTATTAGTGTTATCATTACTAGTATTATCATTATTAGTATTAGTCATCATTATGATTTTTATTGTTATTTTTACTATTCTTGCTATTCTTAGTGTTATTATCATTATTATTATTATTATTATTATTATTATTATTATTATTATTATCATTATTATTATTATTATTATTATTATTATTATTATTATTATTATTATTATTATTATCTTTGTTATTATTATTATTTATATTAGTATTATCATTATTATCATTATCATTATTATTATATTAATCATCATCATTATTATCATTATCACTATTGTTATCATTATCACTGATGTTATTATGATTACCATTATTGTTATCATTCTAATCATTATTAGTTTCATTATTATCATAAAGATTACTATTATCATTATCATAATTATTAACTGTTATTATTGTTGTTGTTGCCATGATTATTATGAATGTTATTGTCCCCATTACCATAACTACTGCCGTTATCATTATCAACTTTATTATCATTGGCATAACCATCATTATCAATATTATCATCACAATCGTCATTATTATCATTTTCCATCACAAACATATGATATAACGTTACCTGCGGGAAAGAAGAATCAGAATAGGAAGAAATTATGATAACTAAAGAATAGAAAGAACACTTATGAACGTTAATAACATGTTAAAATGATATTTCAGATGTATATGCAAAATATGCAAGAGTATCTTTTTAATCATGATATTTCCTTGGACATCAGTTAGTTGAGAACCATGATGACCTGATATGACCTGTCACCAATTCACACCTTGTCGCGAAAACTAATGGAAGAGGTCATACACATCTTAATATACGTTACTATTGGCTGTCTATTTCTCTCTCTCTCTCTCTCTCTCTCTCTCTCTCTCTCTCTCTCTCTCTCTCTCTCTCTCTCTCTCTCTCTCTCTCTCTCTCTCTCTCTCTCTCTCTCTCTCTCTCTAGAATTGATATAACATTTCCAAGACTACGTATTTTTCACTATTTAGTCATAAACTCGATCAGCACATATAGGAAATGTAAAGGAATACTCATCAGTTTTTATATTAGTGGTCTTGAAGACACTCGCCTACGAGGGAGATGAGATCTGAATTCACCAATATTTGATTTATTTTTTCAAAGGAAGATGTGGTTTTTACGATAATGATTTGACGTTTTATTGCTTACAGATCTCTCATTCTCCCACTCTTCTCTCTGTCTCTCTCTCTCTCTCTCTCTCTCTCTCTCTCTCTCTCTCTCTCTCTCTCTCTCTCTCTCTCTCTCTCTCTCTCTCTCTCTCTCTCTCTCTCTCTCTCTCTCTCTCTCTCTCTCTCTTCTCTCTCTCTCTCTCTCTCTCTCTCTCTCTCTCGCTCAACCACATATCTATCAACGCATACATACTTAAAGTATATGTGTATATAACTACTTACATGCGTTTTACACACACACACACACACGCCAAAGCCACGCCGACCTCTCATTAGGCAAATAATGTTGTTCCACACTTAAACGGATTTCCCTGTAATCCGAGTGTCGGAAGTGAAGCGACAGAGTGATCATCTCCGATTATCTCGGGACGCGAACTAACGAGCTCTCTGACCCCGCCCAGATCCCTGCCTCTCGCCCACCTTGCTCCGCCCTCACTCTGCCTCTCGCCCAGCCCCCCCTGACCCTGCCTTTTTGCCCACTTTGCCCCGCCCAGAACCCCTGCCTCTTCCACGGGATCCCACCCTACCTCTCAAAATGGGTGAGTAATTGCAGGGGGCGCTAAGCCCGATCACACTCTCTCTATTTGCTCAGCAGTTTTATATTTCCATGTGTTATTCTTTATTCACCTTCCTTCTTTTACCTTAAAATCATCTCTTTTAGCCTCTCCTTCTCCCCATGTTTCTTCTAACTTCATATGAAGATCTTTCTTATCATGGTAAATAGTACGAGCTGACCTTCGGCCATTTGCATCCCAACAATTTGTCCAAACGTCATGTGTTTAAACGTCTCATTAATCATACTGACAGATTGGTTTGGGAAACGTTTCTTCAGGGGCGCGTCAGTGACATTGTCAAGGGTTAGCAATTAAGGGGTTAGGGCCAGAATGGGAGATAAGGGAGGGGCGGGGATCAGGGGCGGGACAAGGTGGGCGAGCGGCAGGGTTCTGGGCGGGGTCAGAGAGCTCGTTAGTTCGCGTCCCGAGATAATCGGAGATGATCACTCTGTCGCTTCACTTCCGACACTCGGATTAAAGGGAAATCCGTTTAAGTGTGGAACAACATTATTTGCCTAAAGCGAGGTCAATGAAGCTTCGTTAGGCATCTCACTGTTCAAAGTATCATCACCGTCAGTGCGCCAAAAACCATGGAGTCCATTCCACATAGCCCTTCATGTTAAGAAACATTAATGTATACTAGAAAATTGCAAAATGCAACCTTCAGGAGTTGACAAGTACAAGACATCTGATCTACCTCTGAAGCCGTCACACTTTCCCTGCGCCATTGCTTCCAGTCTGAGATGGAAAAAATCGTTTATATCTGAAGATACGTCTCAGCGAACTGATGATAGTAATGATAAGTGGCATGTGTTTGTCCTTTGGAGTGTGACCTCTTTTTGGAGGAGAGAGCATCGTGGCGCCGCTGGTGGAGGCCTGGGAACTGAAACGATTATGATTGTTCTGCGATGGTACACTGTGTGGCGCAGTCGTTTAGGTGACGGCGTTGAATCCACGTCACTGTTCAGTTTTGAAGATCAAAATGCGTATAGTGAAATTCACATTTGAATATCTCACCACAGACTTTTTCAATAAATGGTTATCTTTATTTGTTATACGCAGCTGTACTCTCATGTAACAACTGTACTTATGAAGATTTCACATTAACGTTGTTTAGAAACATCAATGTGTACAAGAAAATTGCAAAATACAAAGAGTAAAAAGAGTGTACAGTTTATTATCTTTGTTTTGCCAATAGAATCTCCTAACGCTATCGGCCATGACCTGGTTTGACCTGCTACCAATTCACACCTTGTCGCTAAAAACATTATAAGATGTCAGAAGCATCTTAATATTTTTCTTTTTGTGGATTAACAGGTGGTATTCTTATTCATTATATCTGTTATATAGATATTACCAACACACACACACACACACACACACACATATATATAATATATATATATATATATATATATATATATATATATATATATATATATATATATATATATATATATATATATATATATATATTATATATATATATATATATATATATATATATTATATATATATATATATATATATATATATATATATATATATTATATATATATATATATATATATATATGTGTGTGTGTGTGTGTGTGTGTGTGTGTGTGTGTGTTGTGTGTGTGTGTGTGTGTGTGTGTGTGTGTGTGTGTGTGTGTGTGTGTGTGTGTGTGTGTGTGTGTGTGTGTGTGTGTGTGTGTGTGTGTGTGTGTGTGTGTGTGTGTATATATATGTATGTATATGTATATATTATATATATATATTTATCTGTGTGTATTTGTATATACATACATGCACACACACACACACACACACACACACACACACACACACACACACACACACACACACACACACACACACACACACACACACACACACACACACACACACACACACACACACACACATATATATATATATATATATATATATATATATATATATATATATATATATATATTTGTGTGTGTTTATTTATAAATATACATATATGTATACATACATATATCTATCTATATAGCTCTATCTATATATATATCTATATATATATATATATATATATATATATATATATATATATATTCATATATATATTCATGGTAGAAGTACGAGGAAGCCATATTCGTTTTGATATGAAATCGCCACATCATATCACTTAAAACAGAATAAGCGAACAGACCCCTCTTAATACCATGCTATTACGTACTTCCCTCTGGTATAAATTCACAAATCTTTGAAACTTCCTTATTCAGTCTGTAGTCCGATACGTAGCCAACGTCGTGCCCAGTGAAATGCATGTGAAGTATGTAGGGCATGTGTGTACGTCTGCTGCAGTCTCTCCTATTTTCTACCTCTCATTAGGCAAATGATGTTGTTCCACACTTAACCGGATTTCCCTGTAATCCGAGTGTCGGAAGTGAAGCGACAGAGTGATCATCCCCGATTATCTCGGGACGCGAACTAACGAGGACCCTGACCCCGCCCAGATCCCTGCCTCTCGCCCATCTAGCCCCGCCCTCAAATCCTCCCTTTCCCACGTGACCCCGCCCCACTCCGCGAGAGGGTGAGCGACTGCCTGAAAGCGTTGAACCAAAA